GCAGACGAAGAGGGCGAAACGCAGTGCCTCTTGCCTCCTTGATTCAAGGTTCGAGACAGCTTCAGAGGTTTCGGGGTGTCGGCTTTGCTGCCTAGGGCTTGTACGGCCTTGCTCACTGGAGCTGATTGAAAGGTCAGGGGACCTCGAAAGCAGAGTGTAAGCATCTTCCTGCGTCTCCACCATCAAGCGAATGTGGATCTCTGATCAGTACAGTCGCGCCCCTTAGTCAAGATAACTCTAGAGAAGTCCTACTGACAATGTGCGAAAAGAGACAGGTCTGGAAATCAGAGATCCGCATTGCACGACGCTTTCAATACACCAATCAACCAGTCACTGCACGCCCGTATGCTGTAAGGTGAAGGCGTTGCTCTGCAAGTTGCGACTGTTGCTCCGAACCCTATTTCTCAAGCTGAAACCTCACAAAGGCCGCACCATGATCCAAGACAAAGCAAATCTGACAGAAACCGCAGCTTGTACCACTGAACCGAAGCTGTTGCTACGGCTGCTACTACGACTGTGAGCACTGCTCGTGGATGATGGGTGCAAGAGTAGCGGCGGTGATGGTGATGGTGTTGGTGATGGTAATGGTCATGATGATGAGGAGGAGGTGGAAAACGGAGATGCTGATGCCGATGACAAGTCGGCTTGTTTTCGCCTTGTCCGTTGGAACCGCGGTTGACAAGCGCCATTAACTTCAGTGAACTTCAGTGAAGTGCACGTGTGCCTAGGTGCAGCCTGTTGAGAGTGCTTACTATAGCAGCTTAGCACCGCACGTGGCGCTACGCATGAACCTGCCAGTACGAACCAGCTTTGCGCACACATCCCCAAACCCAAACAAAAACAGGTTTGGGGTTCAGGTTATCGAATCGCCGCTGCCAAGCCAAGCTTCGTAACCAGGACAAGTCTGCCTAGGCCGCTTGGATTTGGGGCTTCGGTTTAGTTAGGGCTAAGGCGGGTTTAAGGTTTACGGGGTGGTAAGGGTTTACTTAGGGTTTAAGGCCGGGCAGATGTAGATGAAGTGAACCTTTCTTCAGAGTTTAGACCAACCATACGCCTTCCAGGAAACCCTCTGCTGTACCCTAAGGCCCCATAGTAGTTCCTTTTTGGGCTTCATATATAGAATCCTATAAGGTAACCCCAAAAAGGAACTACGTTGGGGCCTTATGGGGTCATCGTGCAAGCGAGTTTAGTCGGTTTAGCCTTGTCGGGCCTGAGGGCTCTTCTATCCGAGAATGTGATCTCGGGTATCTTAAAGAGACCGTGCAAGACAGGTAATGGGTTGAGGATCGCAGCAAGGTAAGCTAGGGTCGGGATTTGAAGGAGTACATGACTGGCATTTACATGGTCTTTGAAATTCGCCTCGGCCCCGGCCGAAGCGGTCAGAGGTTCCTATACGGATTTCCTCTGGTCCCCACCTCTTAATCTCCTTTGCACTGACGCTCCACTTCGAAACGGGGCTCGTCGCTGACCCCCCATCCTCTCTTTGAGCCCATGAATTTGCCCGCAGGTCCTGCGGTGAAATCTCACCTCCTCCAACGGATTTGGGCTCTCTGTAGGGCAGTCCCACCCGGTGCTCCTCCTCCGCCGCTGAGGAGTTTGCGTCTACTCCAGGTTCTAGGGTTACGGATTTGCGTCTAGGCCAAAGATGCTGAAAGTTACAAAGTACCACACTCCTGTGCAGAACACTTGCGCAAAAGCCATTCCTGTACACTCTGACTGCTGGATTTTGGCGCCTGCAAGATCTCGGCTCCAGAATTCTGTTCAGCAAGGCAACTTTTCATGGGGTAGCGACGCAGGCTCCGGATGCTTACCTTAAACAAACACCTCCAACCAATTCGGCACATACGTGTGCAGCCAGGCCGAGGCAGGCGACGCGAAGCGTTCAAATTAAAGCACTCCCAATGAGTGGGAGACCCGGATTTCAGAAAAACCGTAGCAGTAAACCCTAAACCACACCAAGGGTTGAGGGGTACCGGACCCAACTGTAATTCTGCACCAGGCCAGGTTGCTTCATGATGATGCGCTTGCGCGAGGATCCTGTCGTCGTTCAAGCGTTTGTAAGGAATACTCCTAATGTCATATCATGGTCCCTACTGCTTGCATCTCATCAGTGGACATGTTGAGAACTACAGTTGCATACTGGGGGATCTTGGGCATGTAGCTATTCCCCAGGCACGGGCCAGAAAGGTTCCCCTTCAACCTACTGCTACTACGACGACGACTACTACTACTACTAAAACTAAAGCTACCACGGTCAGCTGCTACTGCTACTACGATTATCAGTGCTACTACTACGACTACTACGACTACTACTACTACTACTACTACTACTACTACTACTACTACTACTACTACTACGACTACTACTACTACTACTACTACTACTACTACTACTACTACTACTACTACTACTACTACTACTACTACTACTACTACTACTATTACTACTACTTCTTCTGCTACTACTACTACTACGACGACGACTACTACTACTATTGCGATTACTACTATTACTACTACTCCTACTACTAACCATACAAGGCGGGGCACCTTCGACGGCAGCTGCCGCTGCGGAGGCTGCAACAAGGAGCCCTGTTGAGGACCTTGAAGACCTGGAAGGAATCCCAAAAGGGTCCTAGATACTGCTACGGGGAATATACTTCCCCAACTCATACTAGTAATTCCGAGAGGTAATATAGAAACCCTACATTCTACTATAGAGGTACTTTGGACCCTTCGGGATCATGCAGCTTCAATCAAGTTGTGCACCATGTGAATACACGGGCCTTCAAGAATTATTCGGGTTTGCGGTCGGTATTGTCCCACTTATTCTTACACCGGGACGATAAGGGCATACTATTGTAATCAGTAGTGTTCCGATTTTTCATCAGAGGATACCCGTTGTGTTTGTTTTCGAAGCAGAGGGGACCTTGATGCAAGTCCTCAATACAAGGCGCCCCAGTAGTACAGGAGAATTAAGATTGTTTTACAAGGACTCCTAAACCCTAGTTAGCAGAACACCCCCCAAATAACTGCACAAAGCCCTAGCACAAATACTTATATTGCAAAGCTCAGCATGACACCCCCGGTAAAACCCGTGGCCACTGACCCTCTCCTACACCCCGAACCCGTGGCCCTAGGCAGCCCGGCCGACTCTGGGAAGGCTCATGAGGCCGACATCCCATGGACAGCCGTGGCGCGTGTACCCAGCCCTCCTTGCAGAGATCGGAGTAGAATCTGGATTACGAGTTAAGGGTCTAGAGCTCACGGCCACGGCTCAAAAGGTTTATGGGGTTTAGGGTCCAGGTGGTGAACTGCATTGAAATTATCAAAGACTACCGAAGAAAGTTTCAGACTATGGAAATCAATGGTCCGCCAGGTTTGAGTTCCTTTGGTATTCCTTTGGTGGTCGCGGATTTAGGACTCAGCACCTCGCCGATACTCCGTAAGTCATTAAGAAGTCCGTTGAGGGAAACATGCCTTGGAAGGCGATGGGGTCACCTTGCAAAAGTATTAAACTATATATGAAACTCATGGGTGTACCTGGCAGGTAGAGTGGTAGTCATAGCTAGGAAGACAAGTACAGTCCGACAAGACATAAAGCCTTGCTTTGGGCAATCCACGACCAAAGGTTCCCTTGAACCTCAAAGCCTTTCAGGTTTTGGGATGGACCTCCAGCTCATCACTGTAGATTCCTCTCCTGTGCCACAGCTGGAGCCAGGACCGCAGCCATCGTTCAAAGCCGGGGGCCCACAGAACCTCAACGCCTGGGGTTCTCAAGGATGCTCCCCTCGAGCCAAGTCCGGACATCGGAAGCTTTCGCGCTCTCGGCTACCGGTCGGAGGCGTAAGGCGTCTAGGGTTTGTAAGTGTCTGCGTTCTGGCCTTGAGGCCGTGGCGTGGGAGTGTCGCTTGCTCTGGCAAGCACACTGCAGACAGCTCTGATACTGGTCGTCGGTTTGGCATCGGCCTGCGGGATGACCACTGTTCCCTTTTCAGTTCCACAAAAATCCTGACGTGTAAAGAAGTTTTCCGGCGACGCCACGGACTCCGTTCAGCTTTCTCAAGTTTCATTTCAGAAACTGTCTTGGGTCGCTAGCCAGATCACAAAGCTCTTACGGATTCCAAGAAATCTTCACTGGTCAGATAGGGAGTCTTGAAGGAGTTGTTTCTGCTGCACGGCTTGGGGTTCTTGAAGCAATCTTCATGCAGTATGTTGGCTGATTTCCTGGTGGGAGCTGCTGCCGTAAGGCTTTCAAACTACGAGGGGCAACGTCTTGCAATTATGGCTCCAGCAGGTACCTCTCAGCATCTCTGAGTGGGCTGTCTTGAATCGCAAGCTCCTGGCGTCTGGCCAACTCGCTCAAGGTTCTAGTGCTTGCACACGTTCGTCGTTGTTGGGATTCTGCATCGTCTCAACGCACGTTTTCTAAAAAGCTTCGCTAGGTTCACAGAAATTGATTGCTCAGCACGGTGTGTGGTGTTCAGTGTTCAACATCTGCCGCAGTTCGTTTTTGAGAGCTGTCAACCTCGGGGCTTCAGCGCCGTGGATCAAGGCTTGTGGCTGTGAGGGACCTGGTTTGCCACGATTGCAAGGGGCTGCTGGTTTGCCGCAATTGCATGCTATTGCAATATGGTGGCTCTTTCCCTCCCTGCGCCTCGACCAGCAATGCTCCCGCTCGCAGATCGCATGTTCGTTCACACGCCCTCCGTACAGGCCCTGGGTGTCTGTGTCCGTCCGAGCATGGGCGACGGATGGCAGGTTTTGATGCAGCGTGCAAGCGCTGGGAGGAAATCGTGGATGAGGTGCGAAGATCTTCGCGCAAAAGCAAACGGCGTGGTGCGAGGAGGTCGACAAACTAGTCTCCTGTATCTTCCCAAGCAAATCCTAAACTCGAAACCCTCCGCCTCGAACTCTGAAGCCCTTAAGACCACAAAGCCTTCCCTTCTAAGAAACTTAGGAGCACCTGTTTCGTCAGCATTCGGTCGGCCTTTTGTTTGTCAGGCCTGAGGCTCACTTGTCCCCGTCGCCACATGCCTGCGCTGCAGCAGAAGGAATTCAGAGTTTGGTGCCTGGAGTTTGGAGTTGAATTACCGCGCTTGGGATTCGGTGACAGGATGTGACGGATTGAAGGTCTGACTTAATCTACAACGTGGCGTTTGCTGGCGAAATCCTTGGCACTACCTCCTTCGCTCGCAAGACTAACGGAAACTCGCGACAACGCAGGAGCAGTTGACCGGGAGCCTTGCATCGTCTCTCCTGGGGCTTCAACCTACATGGTGATCCATCTGCTCGTCTATACGAAACACAGGAAGACAGCGTGTAAGGAAGACTGAGAACGCGAAAAAGAATAAGAAGTAGGCACAAGTGGACTGCAAGCGCTTCCATGAGTCCTTGAATCTTGGAGACCCTTAAGTCTAAACCCTAGAAACCCTGACACCCTGAACCGCTGCTTTTGAAGGAGTGCCGCCCTGTCAGCATGCACCCGTACGACTCCAAGGGATTCCCAGCCCGGCCCACCTTTCCCGCTCGACTTGAGCCAAGCTCAGAACAGCGACTCCGACTAAGGTTTGTAGGGTTTAGGTTCAGGGTTTAGGGCTTTTATGAGTATAGATAGGTAGGTTTGAGCTGGGACCGTTATCAACGTCATCGTCGAAGGAACAGTGTTATGCCGGCTTCTAGGACCCTTGGTGGAAAATGGTTCTGCGAGCATTGCCCTTTCAGCGCATGCTCAGCTTCGCAGATGCCATGTGCCACACGCACAAATGCACCGGGAAGGTTCTGACCAGCCGCGCAAGCCTCGATGTGGATGGATTTGGAGGACAAACACATGTACATCAAGGAGAGAGTCCGTGATTTCTCCCGCAAATGCATCATCATCAAACACACATGGCAAGCTCATCGAGCCACCAGCACCACCACTGCGACCAGCGATGTCATGACAAGATGGAGCAGAATACCTACAAACATAAAGACAAGGTTTGTACCCTGGCATCCTCTTAGATGCCTGGGGGAACCCCAGAGATTGAAATTTGCGAGCATTGTCTGGGCACCTAGTGCAACGGCTGAACGGAAGTCACACGATAACCTGATAGAATCCGTTCATTAGGTATCCTTCTCTGTCGGCTTCGTGCAAACATGATGCAAACACTTCAAAAAGGCAACATTGGCAATGCACCTTTTGCAACGTGTCCTACTTGCAAACTTTGAAGCAAGACATTCGTAGGTCAGAGTCCGTTCAATCCAAGCAGCCGAGGGACTCAGGAACTCTCCGCGAATTTGACCATCTCTTGCCATAGCTCTTCCACGATAGCCTGGCAGATTGAAGCTTGATGCGCCTTGCTACCGACCCATCAACATACGGCATGAAACGTCGAAACAAAATGTTCGGGAACATATTTTGTGCAGGCCTATATATTTCGAAAACCTACTCGCACGCGCATGCACGCACACGCACACGCACACGCACACGCACACGCACACGCACACACACCCACACAGACACTTGAACACCCAGTCTCGCTGGTTGCATGTTCACTCATGGTCAATTCCGACTCATCAGCGAGTTCAATGACTCCGATGAGAGAACTTCAAAGAAAGCGTTGCCGGTGGGGCTTCAATAGGCTCTGGTTTCCTTGCTGATGTTTACTAAAGAAGAAACAGCCAAGGGTCCTGAAGCATTGCACAGCGAGTATGTGAAGAATGTAGCATTGCACGGCTTGTACTGCAAAGGATGTCACAAACACACTGGCAGGTACGTGGATTGAGCGTCCTCAATCCATTTCACGACAAACTGGAAAGGTCTTCGTTGGACAGTGCCTTCCAGAATGTCCACTGTCCCCCTGCACGATCACTCTCTAGGTCTCAACCTGCAATTCTCACCTGCACTGTCCCGTAGTAGTTTGGGTTCCCCACACACACTGACCTCCGTTGGAGGGGCTGCGGACTCTTCTTTTTCATCGCTGCTGCCGTACTTCTTGGTCTGAAATTGTACGCACAAAGAGCACGGGCTTCAGGGTTGCCATGGATGTAACCGGGTCCCAGTCATGTAGTCGTCGGCGGTTTTGCTCGAAAAAGAACGCTGCAATCTCTGGTACTCTGCCGGTGATCTCTTTGATGCGGTAGGAAAAGATTTTCCGTGCTTGCAGTATGGTATCTCCAAGACAAAGCACCACGTGTAGGAACATATGTTTTTCTCTGGAGATTCGGTCAGGTGGAATTTCCACTGTCATTCGAAAGCATTGAGCCCGCGTAGAGTACCATGGAAGTCCAGCTTCTCCAGCCTTCCGCTTTGGCATGGCTGGCGTTACTACTAAGAAGCCTTAACTTACGGAACCAAAACGCAGAAAGGAAAGAAAAGTGATCGCTCATGCATGCCGAATAAGTGACTGAGTACTGCTTGTTGCTCGCTCATCTTTTTCTCGAACTCTGATCTGCTGCACATTTTAGTCTGTGTCATGAATCCAACATAGATGTCGTCCCTGTCGCTGATGATGTTCTTCGGAACTTTGCGAAAGCGATGTGTGGGAGCAGTACATGATGGCTAGCTCGGGGTTGCTGCGATGTTCTACTTCGCACTGTTGACAATTGCATGTGCAGTTGACGCCACCGAACATGTACCGTGACTCTCGCGCCACTTTCCTGATAACAAACTCCGCGAGCTCTAACAATTGCACCATACTGAGTTGGTTGACGATGCTGTACAAGGTCTCGAGCTGCGAAGGGCCTGCTTGACGTGGTCCGTCCTCTAGGCGCTCTCCATCCCATGTGCGTCTCCCCCGGTGCATTTGTCGAGGTAGCGGACGGTGGGTCAAAGGCTCTTGCTTGAGATAAGTGGCTTACTACGCTCAAGGAATCAACACAAACTTGCCAGGGCACAGTGCAAACCTTAGTTGTAACCGCACAAAACGCAAACTTTTCTTGCTCACTTGGTCTAGCTGCATGCGTCTGCTCTTTAATCCGTGTGGAACCAGCAAAGATGTCGTCCATGCCATATGTGATTTTCTTCCGAACTCCGCGAGTATGACGTGTGAGCACATGTTTGGACGACGTAGCTGGGGTTGCAATAGGTGGCGGCTTCGCATTGTTGGCATGGAATGCAGCACCGAACTCCACCAAACATGAATCTGGTTGCGTTCCTCAATCTGCGCGCCACATACTCTGCCAACTCCAGCAGCTGTGAAATGCTGAGCTGGTTGACCACCTGGTACATGTTGTTGAGCTGGGCTGTCGGCACATCTGCGTGATGTTCAGCTTCGTCTGAGTAGCGCGCATCCCGGTCACGGAGCATTGCCGCTGTCACTGATCAAATAGTGATAGTTGGAGGGCTTTATGAGCTTGAGACACGGTAATCCAAAACAGCTAAGGCACAATCCTAAAGGCTGAAGAGACAAGGGACCGCCTAAAGTCGCAAAGCGTTGTGGGAACTTCTCTGTTTTCTGCATTCTCGTCCTGCTTCTGGCACCGAATTGTGTCCACAGCGTTGTGCTGAATTGAATTATGGGAGGTTGAAGCCAAGCATGCGAAGGTAGCGTTTGTCTTCTCTGCAAATGTCCTCGATGCGGTTGGTGGTGTAGGCCGAGATGATCAGGCGATCTGATTTCCATGGGCACGTGCCATGGAGCTTGAATGGACTGAACTCGATTCCGGGCAGTTTGACTTCAAGGTTGTGACCGCGATGTTGTCCATTTGGGGATAGGTCAGGTCCGTCGTCTTCTTCAACCCATAGGTGTCCTTGTCGGAAAGTCGAGACTGGAATCACAATGTTGAGGCTTCCTGGCTTGTTGTACTTGTCTCGGTGCGTACGCATGTGCACATTGCCGAGTAACGATACAGTCGAGAATGTAGTGTGGGTGCATGCTCGTACCAGGTATGCCATGAGTGCTGCCGTCCACGGTCTTTGCCTCGTGTTTGTGCGTACTCCGGTGCTGCCGGCATGGTAGAAAGCGCCGACTGTATATGCCGTTGTTCTTCTGCCTGCTTTGGTAAGTGCTGAAGCTCGGAGGAATTCGGAGTTGAGCTGGGTGGATAGCCTTGGGAAGAGCTCGAAGGGGATGTATCTTTGTTGGAGGAGTAGTTGGCATTCTTGCTCGACTGGATCATCTGTTGCTGTTGAACTTTCGGGTGCACTCATGTCCAGTGGTAGTCCATGTGGTAATCTGACGATGTATTCTGCGGCCTCGGAGTCGGTATCGATGTCGGTGAGCTCTGCGGCGCTTGTGGCTCCATTGATACGTTGCTTTTTAGTCATATTAGCCCTAAGTCGTACCAACGCAAGGCTTGAACCAAAAAACTGAAGAAAAGTGTTGAAAGGGCTGAAAGAAACGAACAAAAGGCTAAGACGTTGCACTTGCTACTGCCTACCGGTCTCTGGCTCTGTGAGTTTTCAGAAGGCGCGCATACCCTAAGTCACCGTAGAGGTCGTCCAGTTCTTGAATTTGTCTCTGGGCTACATCTTCCGGGTAGGCAATGGTGCGGATGAGATGCTTTCTGCTGTGATATCCGCTGAGGCGTAACTTTGTAGTTCCGGCTGACTGAGGGAGTCTGTATCTCCAAGGCTCGCGGTGGAGATTGTACGTGATTTTGCGATTGTCTGCGTGAATGCGAAATCCCAGAAAATCGTCACACGCTTCGTCTTCAAGTTGTACTGGTTTCTTGTAGAAGTGCAGGGACGCAAGCTGCTGAATGAAGGGGTTGTGCTGAAGTTCGTCTTCATCAACTATAATGGCTCTGTTGTCGACGTACCTGCGGATCCAGAACTTGTCATGGAGGTGGGCGCTGCTGACAAATTGACCGTACATGCGTAGCCATGTGATTTCTGTGGCCACGATTGCGCACGTGGAGAGGATGGGGCTGATTTGGTTTCCCATCGACGTGCCGCATGTCTGTTGGAAGACTTCGCCAATGGCTGTGAAAGCACATGCGTCGAAGCTGAACTGAATGATGGCTGGTATGTGCTCTGCCTGCATCTTGACCATGTTGGACTTCAGGCTGTGCGTTGAGCGGCCTGAATGCGCTGGTGCGATCTTGTTGTGCGG